CTTGGGAGGAGGGAAATGGATGCCACGTGCACCACCCAGCAGTGAATTTGACTAACAATGCCTTTGGACCAAGCAGTCTGGAGGCAGAGGCCCTCAGATCTCTGTGAAATCTAGGCCACCCCGTCTCCATAGCAAGTTCCAGGGCAGTTGAGGGTACAAGGAGGCTTTGTCTCAAAACGATCAGATGTATCCTTGCTCTGGAATGTGTTACTGAATATGTTAAAGCTGTAATGAAATGCTTCTTTTAATCATGTGGTTATTAATTTAAAAAAACTTTTTTAAAAAAGAAAGAAAAGAAAAGAAAATTGTATGAATACAATGTACTTTTCATTTAAAACATGGATTTTTTTATGTCAAAAAAAAAAACTTTTTTAAAAAAGAAAGAAAAGAAAAGAAAATTGTATGAATACAATGTACTTTTCATTTAAAACATGGATTTTTTTATGTCAAAAGAAAAAAACTATAGAGGCTTTCCAAGCCTGAGGATGAAGGGCTGTCAGAAATGATGTAACCTAAGTGCCTCTTTTGCTTCACCTCAGTCTCAGAAACAAAATGTTTCAAAAGTTGTTTTTAAGGGTCTGGAGCAATGACTCAGCAATTAAGAGCACCGGCTGCTCTTGCAGAGGACCTGGGTTCAAATCCCAGCCATCCTCAGTAAACACCTTCCCACTTTTGTCCATACAATGAACACATTTTCATGGCCTTTCCTTAGCCTTTGCAACTGTTTCAGTCACAAAAGCAATTTGATTCAAGACCATTTCCCCTAAATTATTACAGTTTCATTCTAGCTAGTCTCTCTACCTCCACGCCAGATCCCCTCCATTTTTTAATGGGAACTATTCTACCCCATGAGGTATCGATTTTTTAATTTTTATTGTCGCATATTCATTTAACACAATGATAGGTTTCATAAAGACATTTTCGTTCAAGGAGAGTGTGTGCTTTGACATTCACCTCTCTCTCGCTCTCTCTTTCTCAGGTGTGCACGTGCGCACGCCACACCCCCACTAGAGAATCATCTTCCTTCTAGACAATCTCACTTCTATTTTTTTATATCAAATATGTATAAATGATATCCACAGATAACAGAAAACATGCAAGTTTGGGCTTTCTGAGTCTGAGTTATTCTGCTTAACATGATGACCTCCAGTTCCATACATTTTCCTGCAAACAATGTAATGTTTTTCTTCTTTATGGCTGAATAAGACTCCATTGTGTGTATATGTACCACATTTACCTTATCCATTCATCTGTTGGTGGATTTTGATCACAAATGTACATATTATCTTAGGTGTATAATGGTGTAACAGCAAGGCACTGTCTTTCGAAGCATTTAGTCTTCAAGCTCAGCTCTTCCCCGAAACCATGAGAACTTCAACATCTCTGGGAATCACTGTTATCAATAAAAAGGAATAGCAATCTCTTCCTCAAAGTTTTCATACAATTAAAATTACATACTATCTACAAAGCAGTAAGCAAAAGGTCTGGCACAGAGAAAAGTTTTAGCAAAAGGTACTCCTCTCTTTCCACAGTTATTCAAGGTCAGGTCATATTCAGGGATAGGGAGGTATTGCAATTTTCCCTCTCATGATCCTTCTTATCACACACTTAGTACTTATATCTTACAGTAGATACTCCTTGTCAAAAACGGAACATGTATTCTGAACATAGAGTTGAATCCTTCCTAAATTAATTTCCAACCTAGTGCTATGGAGAAGTAAGGAAGAAAAGGAAAAAGAAACTAGTGACGAAAAATGACTCCATGAAAGATAGGAAAGAGGTTGTGAATAATTACAAACAGCTTATTCATTTGGATTTTATTACAGGACTGTAACATCAGACAAAGTAATATTTTTCCCTATCAACATCACTCCTTGATGGTATCTCTTTCTCTGTCCTTCCAAAAGTGATACCCTATTTTTTTAAAAGTCTAGTGGCACATGCCTTTAATCCCAGCACTCGGGAGGCAGGGGCAGATGGATCTCTGTGAGTTCAAGGCCAGCCTGGTCTACATAGTGAGTTCCAGGTCAGCTGGGGCTACAGGGAGACCCTGTCTCAAAAAGACAAAAAAAAAATTATGAATTACTGCTTTCACTTCTTAGGGTCCTCAAGATTACATGAGAAAAATAGAGCTTTCTTGGTGTTAGGAAGCAAAGACTGTATTCTATGTGCCATAGACAGAAAGGAGACACACATGAACATCCATTCTTGCTCCTTGACTCCACATTGTAGCCCCACCCCACCCTGCCCACCAAACCATACTAGCTTTAGGGAGGTTTGTGCTGAGTTGACTTTTATTTAGATGGTGATGCTGTTGGAAATCTGAAGAAATGTTTCTTCTTGTTTTTAAGCATTTTAATGCTTGCTGTAGTTTACTGTACATAGTATTCATTATGGTGTTTGTTGCTGAGAAGTAGTTGATAAAAAATATGTAGATTCAACAAAAAAGTTGATTCTAAAAAGTAAATAAGATCAAAAGAACCTTAGCCAAACTAACCAAAAGAAAATGAAAAACTGGAAGAAGTGGATAAATCCATACATATGACCTATAAAAATTAAGAGACACCAGGCATGGTCACAGGCCTTTAATCCCTACACTTGGGAGGCAGAGGCAGGCAGATCTCTATGAGCTAGAGGCCAGCCTGGTCAACATAGTGAGCTCCAGACCAGCTGGGGCTACAGGGAGATCCTGTCTCAAAAAGACAAAAAAAAAAAAAAGTTAAATAAATCCATACCAATCAACTGAAGTAGTAATACAAACTTCTCCCAACAAAACAAAGCCCAGCACCAGATGAATCCACTGCCAAATTCTATCAAATCTTTAGAGAAGAGTTAGCATGAATGCTTCTCAGATAGGTCCATGAAATAGAAAAGGAAGAAACAGTACCAAACTCACCCTATAAAGTCAGCATTTCCCTGATGCCAAACTGGACATGCACACAAGAACACTGCAGCAAAAATTCTCCATAAAATTTTTACAAATTGAATTCAAGAACACGTGAAAAAGTGGTAACAACTCAGTTGGTTTCATCCCAAGCATTCAATTCAACATACACAAAAAAGTGAATATAAATCAGCACATAAATAGACTTAAAGACAGAAATCACAGGATCATCTCAATGGATGCAGAAGAACCTTGACAAATCCAGCATCCCTTCAAGATGAAAGTACTGTAAAGGTCAAGTGGGTGTAGCTGCTTACCTGCAACCATAGTGCTAGGAGGCTAGAACGGGGAGTCCCTGGAGCAAGCTGGCTAGACAGACGAGCCCAAAGAGCAAGCTCTGGGTTTAGCAAGAGACACTGCCTCAGTGTGGAAGGTAGAGAATGATCAAGGAAGACACGCAACATGAACTTCAGGTCTACACACACACACACACACGCACACATGCACTCACATACGTGCATTCACATACATGTGAACATGCACACATATATCACGCACAAATGGAGAAAAGACTACAATAGGCAATAAACAATTGAAAAGTTATTCAACATCCTTAGCCATCAGGTAAATGCAAACTAAACTGTTTTGAGATTCTGTCTCATTCTAGTCAGAATGGCTATTATCAAAAAGAGACAAATGTTGAGGATATGAGGATATAGGGAAAGGGGAACCCTACTTACTACTGCTGGGAATGTAAACTTGTACAGCCACATGGAAATCAATATGGAGACACATCAAAAAACTGAAAGAGAATTACCCTATGACCCAGCTATACCACGCGTGGATGTGTACCCGAAGGACTCTAAGTCAGAATACCACAGAAATACTTGCACATCTGTGTTTATTGCTGCACTATTCCCAATAGTCAAAGAATGGAGCCAGCTTAGATGCCCCTCAGCAGATAAATGGATAATACGGTATATACACAATGAAGTTTCATTCAGTCATAAATAAACTGAAATCATACATTAACGTGATTCAAACTGGAAATCATTATGTGACATGAAATAAGCCAGACTCAAAGAGACAAATAACACATTTTCTCTTGCATGTAGAATCTAGATTTAAAATTGTGTGTGTGTGTGTGTGTGTGTGTGTGTGTGCATATTTGCAAGTGTGTGTGTAATGAAAGTACAAAAGGGATATCACGGAAGGGGAAGCAGAAATCTTCAGGGATGGGGGAAGGGTGGGAATCATCCAGAAGGGTTCACAAGGCACAGAGGAGGACCGTGAGGGAGAGGAATAATTGAGAATAAAGTGTATGACATGTGCGTGAAAATGCCATAAAAAATCCATGACTTTTTATGCTGAGCAAAAATACTAATTTTTAAAAATTATTTGGTGAATCACCTTTTATTTGGATGATTGTGAGTTGGAAGTCTTAGAAAACTTTTAAGAAATTGAAGGATAAGGACTTTCTGGTGGCAAGGCAAAAACTTTCCTTTCCCACTTCTTACTCTCAATGACAAAACCTCCAGGTACCTTCTTTATTACAGGCAGGAGTTCTTTGCATGAATGGTAACCAAAAAGCCGAGTGCCTTACTGAGAGTTGCTCCTGGAAGAAAGTTTGTTATAAGCACTCCAACACATCTATTTGCAAGTGGCCACACGTGGAAATATCACAGTGGCTTTTTTTCAGGAAGACTGTATCTTCAACACAGAATGATTTAAGGGATCTTACCTATGCCTCATAAATGTAGTTGCTCTGCCCAGGGAGCACAGAAGCCTTTTCTTAGTGGATTATGAAATGGGAAGACAGACACTCTGTCATTATTCTCACTGCCTGGTGACATGGATCAATGCAGGCTGGGCTTTCTGACCTACACATCAAATCTCAAGTCCCATTTTGGATGGGGGTTGAGGGAGCCTATTAGAGTTAGCAGAATTGGCTTCAATCAAATTAATGACTTTTCAGGAAATTAATAACTTCTGCTTTATCAGACAAGTGTGTCTTGTGCTGCTTTTTTCTACCTGAGGCCGTGTCTCTCATGGTGAATCACAGTTCCTAAATGATGGGTTCAGCTTAATACCACCTGTTATATTTTTCCTCTTCCAGGTAGCTATAGATTTCACTGCCTCTAATGGAGACCCCAGGAACAGCTGCTCCCTGCATTATATCCACCCCTACCAGCCCAATGAGTACCTAAAGGCTTTGGTGGCCGTGGGAGAGATTTGCCAAGACTATGACAGGTAAGAGCTTTCAGATGGCTGAAGCTTTGACTCTCAGGTGGGTTCCCATGGTCCTTGTCTGACCCTTGGCAGAAAAGGATTAAGTCTAAGCTCATGAAAGGACAGAATACAACCTTGTACCAAACATTTCATCCTCTCTGTACCTAGGGAATTGAGCTTGGGCTATGCTCACATCAGTGACCAAATTTGTCTCTCAGTTTTCCACGCTTGGCTTATGAAGCCACTGGATAGTAATGTTAGCTTTCACTGTGTGAGGTTGGTGTGCACTTTGTGGATCACAGTTTGTTCATCAACTGGCATCACTCTAGACCAAATGAACTGGAATTTGCATCGTCACAAGATTCCCACATGACTTCTGAGTTTTAGAAGCATGGATTTACTGGATGTTACTGTGTCTAATCCCTATACATCTCATACAATAGTTTCAATTTTTAAAAGGCATAAAACTATAGAAAAGCTAAGCCAGGTATACATTGTGACACAGGTAGAGATAGCATCTGAACCAGTATCTATCTCACTCCATACATTAAGTCCAAAATCACTGTGTTTCACTGACCTTGGAAGCTATTGATAACTTTATCAGAGGGGGTGTGTGTGTGTGTACCCAGGTGCACATCTATGTGGCCAGGCAAGGGTAGTTCCCTATAAGAAGTGATCTTCAGGGGCTAGAGAGATGGCTCGGTGGTTAAGAGCACTGGCTGCTCTTGCAGAGGACCCAGGCTCAGTTCCTGGCACCCACAGGGTAGCTAACAACCACCTGTAATTCCAGTTCCAGAAGATTCAATGCTCTCTTCTGACTTCTGTAAGTATTGCACACATGGTGCACTTACATACATGCATGCAAAACACTCATACATATAAAATAAAAAATAAATGATCTCTAAACCTTAATAAATGGGATTTATGCTGTGATTCTAGTAGTTATCAGATAAAGGGGAAGGAGCTCAGTTGTTTAAGAAGGCTTTTTGAGATGGAATCAAGTAAATACAAACCTGTAAATCTCTGTAAACTCCCTGGTGTGACTGTGAAATGAGGCTAGTTTGTAATGAGCTGCAAGTAATTGACCTTTTAATCCAAGAAAACAAACAAAGATTTACTGAAATGTTATCATATAATATGATTTCTGTTCCTTCTAATTTCACAATTGGTAATAACCACATTAAAAACTCACTGCCTGCATACCATGGGAAAGCACACATCCTTATGATCAGAATTCACAGAGAAAACCCACAGCATAGGTTATAGAAAAAGAACAATCACTCTCCTGCCTGCCTGCCGGTGTCTCTGAATTCAACCTAGTCACCACAAATACCCCAAGAGGGCTTGAAAACATTGAAGAGAGAATCACCAGGTCCCAAAAATCAAAGAGCATACCCTTGCTGGTCATCTAAACAGACCTCAATGATCATTTTAAATTACCTTGTTGAAGTAGCTCTTCTTATATTTCCCCTTGAGGTGCTGACTGTGAAGATAACTTGAATTTCAGCTCTGATTTCTTCTGGCTCCAATTCAGGGAAGATTCCTAGAGAGATTTATATCAGATGGCGATCTGTACCACAGAGAAAAGAATCTGACAAATTGCATCTACACTGTCAGAAACTTCTTCAAACTTTGCCAAGACACGGGAACAGTAATTGTGACCTTCCTTCACTTCCACACAGACACACGCACATTAATAATCGAATGTAATCTTATGTGTACATGTGAAGAGAGAAAAAGGGTAAGAATATTTCCAGGATTCCTACTGTTTGAATCTTGAAGTGCATCTAATACAGTTTTCCCACTGGAGTGGTATACATCTGCCTCAGCTACTCTGGGGGCTAACTCAGGAGGATTTTTTAAAATTACATGTGTGTGTGTGTGTGTGTGTGTGTGTGTGTGTGTGTGTGTGTGTGTATGTGTGTGTGTGTGTGTGTGTGTGTGTGTGTGCCACAGTGGAGATCAGTAGACAACTTACAGTAGTAGGTTCTTTCCTTCCACCGTGTAGGTTCCAGGGATTGAACTCAAGTCCTCTGGCTCAGCAGCAGTTACCTTTATCTGCTGAGCCAGCTCACCAGCCCCTGAATTACATTTAGTTATTTATATTTATTTTGTGTGTGTGTGTGTGTGTGCGTGCACACACACACACACACACACACACACACACACACACTCAGAGGCACGCATGCATGCACGCACCACTACACACATGAAAGTCAGAGGAGAACTTACAGGAGTCCTCTCCTTCCATGTAGGTTCTGGGGATCAAACCCAGATCATCAGGTTTGATGGCAATCTTCTTTATTCATTGGGCCATTTTGAGGGCCCTTGCAGGAGGATATTTTTGAGCTTGAGTGTTCAAACTCAGGCTAAGTAAATAGTAAGTCCTCATCTCAAGAAAAAAAGGGGTAAGAGCAGTAGAAGGAGGAATATGAGGAGGAGGAGGAGGAGGGGGGGAGGAGGAGGAAAGAGTACATGAAGTTATCAGAAAGGGGAGGAGGAGGAGGAGGAGGAGGAGGAAGAGGAAAAGGGAGGAGGAGGAGGCAGAAAAGTTAAAGAGACTGTACACAAAAGTCCTGAATACATATGCCATGTACTAGATGCTCAACAGAAAAACTATGCACCTCAGGTAGGAAGGCAATTCCAAAGAGAATAGTGAGTAGTTCAGAAAGTGAAATGCCAAGGTCCAGAGCTCTGCCATGGTCCTGCATCATCTTTATTGATTGATCTGGATACTGATTCATCAGCAGGAAGTACTTATCAGATAATCCCTGTGGATTGTCTGCATTTCCTGCTTGCCTCCTAGGTAAACTGCAGACACTGTAGTCAGAATGACTTGTACACCTTTTAAAGCTTTTATTGCTTTGAATGCAAACCAGACAAAAATCTGATGACTGTTTTGCATTTCTTCAAAAATGCAAATTCAATATTAAAAATAAGATGCCACACTTTAGAAGTTACATGAAGAATCACCATAAATGATTCCTTTTAAATTTTTAATGAGGTAAGTTGAAGTTATCATCTGCAGCTGGCCAAGTAAAACAACTTTGTGCAGCACGGTAGAGCAATGTTTTATTGTTGTCTGAAGAAGGCAGCTCGACGTTAAAATGGGCAAATGCTAAAGAAGAAAAGGTTTGAAAAACCTCAGTTCTCTGTAAAGAGACTCCCTGCGAGTGTGGAATGCAAGCTGCGGGCCTGAATGCCCAAGGTTCTGCAGTTTCTCCTTTGTGTGGGTGGATAGACAATAGACAGGCAGAGTCGGGAAATTTCAAGTCAGGGCTCTGGAATTAATGTATTCTTGCATCAAAGTCAGGGAGGTTGGATCTTAAAAAGAAACACTTGAATAAAAACTGACAGAAGTCAGCCACCCCCCCTCCTGTAGCAACGCAGAGGTTTTCAATCCCCATGAGCCTTAGAAACTCCTCTCTGCTTCTGACAGCCAAGGGTTTCTTTCTGCCTTGCACAGTCATTGCTACTGGGTCATCACCAGGTGATCCATGAAGTAGAACAGCTTGTGAGATGCATAAAACTCTTCTCAGGATAGCCCTGAAGGGAGGCTCCTCGACCACAAGAAGGCTGGTCCTCAAACCCAGAAAAAAATCACTCTATCCCTCAGCCTCTGGAAAAGACACGCCTGCCATTTTCTACCACACCTGCCCACACCAGTGTGTGTGTGTGTGTGTGTGTGTGTGTGTGTGCGTGTGTGTGTACATGTACACACACACGCACACACACATACACTCATTGACCTACACAAGCTGATACATACCCTGCTGCTTATAGCACTTCCCTACTAAACATCTGATCTGCTTACACTCCTCAAGGTCAAGGTGATACACTGTTCTTGGGGTCAACATGGATAAACTGAAATTGTCTGAAAACCTGAATTGTCTTCTAACGAAAAGGCTGGCCTAGACCTGTTGGCATAGGCCTGTAATCTCAGCTACTTGGGAGACTGAGGCAGGAAGACTGTGAGTTAGCCAGCCTAGGCTACAGAGTGAGTTCAAGGCCAGCCTGGGAAACCTAGTGAGACTCTGTCTCAAGTTTTTTGTTTTTTTTTTTTTAATGTAAAAAGAGGGTTGGGGGCCACAGGTTAGTGTTGCAGTACTTGCTTACCAAGCAGGAGGTTCTAATGCTGAGAAAAGGAAAAGGGGACAGGGGAGACATGGGGAAAAAGGGCTGCTTATCTGCCACGGTGATTGTTTGGAAACCAAATGCATTGCCTGAAAGCACAGACTGCCAGTCTCGAGAAGTGGCCACCTCAGAATGAATGAGGGATCTCCGAAAGCACTTCCTCCACAGTGTGCTGGGTACTGTGTTAGGAGACAGGTTAGAACTGAACCCATTCTGACAGGTACTTGGAATCACAGAGCATTGGGTTTGTCACTGGAAGATGGGGTTCTATCACACTGCAGCTTTTCTCATCAAGGCTCTCAGCTTTGGCTGCACAGCCAAGCAACTTAGGAAGCCTCAGATAAGCTAACACTTGTCCCCCCACCCCACCCCAAAGTTCTGATTTCATTGTCTGCTGTGCACTCCAGAATCTGGATTTTTTTTCTAATAGGTCCTCAGACTTGAAATCCACCATTAAGTCAGAAGTGCTGGGTCAGGCGGAAGCCAAGGATTTCTACAGCATCCCATCGGTACTACATCCCTTGTGTGGGGCTGCAAAGACACAAAACTTAATGTGGCACAGTTTTCCTTGTGTGAGAGAGGAAAAGGCTTGTGACTATGTCACCGTGAATCCAATGTGGTGGCTCACACCTGTAATCTCAGCACTTAGGAAGCTGAAGCCAGAGGAGCACAAGAGTTCAGAGCACCCTGGAGTGTAATGTGAGACCTTCTCAGAAAGCAAAAACAGATAAACAAATTCCCAGGTCAACATCGCCCAGAAGCCTTTCCTGAGTCCTACCAGAGGGTATACAAAGGAGACAAGGGCTCGCTCTGTCCTGCTAGAAGGATGGCCAAGGAGGAGCCTTGACAGAGGTGACTGGGCTGGTCTGAATCCAGTACTTCTGCCT